CGTGGCTGCGGGGCCGGGTCACGGCTGTTCTTTCACCTCCGGTGCCAGTAACCTGAAACGAGATTGCTGGAAATGAGGGAGAGGGAGAGTCAGCGATTTGATTACAGGCCACAGGCACATGCCTGGCCTTCATGGATATATTAAGTAAGAGACATTTTAAAACAAAACCACCCTCAGTAACCTTATCGTAAGCTTGAATCCACAACCCATCTGTTAACTCCCAGCGCTGCCCACATAGGCTCCGATCAGACGTCGGTGACGGGGATTTTTGGAGCGTTTCCCCCCAAATGGCGGTGGTCGGGAGGGGACGGGCATGGGGCAGGTCCTGGGGCTCGATCCCCCCTGCCCGCCTTCAGAACCCCTTCAAAACACCCCCCACCACCGCCTCTACCTGCCTCTGCTAGGCAAGGAACTTCAGCCCCCCTCGGACATGCACTCCCGCTGTCCTGGGACCCTCAGCCCTCCTGAAACAAGCGCCCATGAGACCCGCGGCTCGACGAACGGCTTCAGAAAATTAAGCCCTTCTAAACATTCTGCTGCTGCCTTAACCGTGTGCTGTAAAGGAACGAACCCTCCACGTACAAATAATTCAGCAAACAAAATCAAGAAGGCAAATTGGCGATTGCATCAGCCCCAGCTTATGAAAACTGATCCCCAGGAAAATGTAATTCAACTCTCCAGCAATCTAACTTGATGCCCAAGAATGCAGTAACTTCATTTGGATCCTCTTTTTAGGGGGACTCCTAAATCCTTGGCAACGTCCCTTAAGGTCATGAGCAAAGCCTGATACGGAGGATTGTTTGGCAAGCATGAGAACAGTAAAAGGGCTAAATAATTGGGGATTACCTCTGACCCTGATTTGTAGCTCACCACCCACTGCAGGAATATATCTGAAAGAGCATGCGGGAGTCAGACGATTCGCGGGCATGAAGCTGTCCACGTACACTTGGGAGTCTGAACTCAAAAGGCAGAGCAGGTTGGCCCCAAACCCGGTTTTCGTTAGCAGTCAGCTGCAGCAAGCTCTGATTATTTCTCTTGCCTTGGACAGAGGGTCAGAGGTGGGACAGGTTAAAAATCGTACGTATTTTTTTCACCCTTCGTTTGGAAAATGACAGCTTGGGTCTTGAGGGCAGAGAGAGGATGGACCCCCCGACTCAGCGCCCGTTGTTTAGGCTGGCTGCTCTCCCCTGAACTGCGGGGAGGGACGAGCACATCACTTCCATTGGCTTCTGGTGGTTATTGGTGAATGTGCTCAGCGCCCGTACGGCAGACGGTCTCCGCTTTGAGCAGTCCGTGGCCCGGAGCTGCGACCCTGTCCCCGTTGACACCCCGGGGCTCCGTTTTTCCTCCCTCCCCGGCGCCGGGCTGGGTGCGAAGCGTCGCGGCCGGTGAGCGCGGG